GAGTAGAGAGCAGGGAGTAGTGAGTGGGCGTAGTGAGTAGTGAGTAGTGGGTGGTGAGTAGTGAGTATTGAGTAGCGAGTACCGAATCAGGAGTAGCGAGTAGTGAGTACTGCGTACAGGGTAATGAGTACTGTGTAGTATTTAGCGAGTAGTGTGAGTACTGGGTAATGAGTACTGAGTAGTGAGCAGTGAGTACGGAGTACTGAGTAGTGAGTAGTGGAGAGTGTTTAGTGAGTAGTGAGTAGTGGGCAGTGAATAGTGCGTGGTGAGTAGTGAGCAGTGATTATAGCATAGTCAGTAGGGAGTAGGAAGCAGTGCGTAGTGACTAGTGGGTAGTGGGTAGTGTAGTGGGTATCGAGTGGTGCTTGGGGCTAGGGTTAGGGGTTCGGTTTAGGGTCTGGGTTTGGGGTGAAGGTTAAGGTTCGGGGTGTAAGGGGGGGCGGGTTCTAGAGTCAGGGGGCGGAGTGGCGAAAGGGGGGAAAGGGGGGGGGGGGGGGGGGGAATTTCGAGCCCAAGGGGGGGGGGGTCTCGGACCCCCCCCCCGCCTTTTTTGAAAGAGGGAGGGGGGGGGATTCCCCGACGACGGACCGGGAAAACGGCGGAAGTGGAGGAAGAGGAGGAGGAGGAGGCGGGGGCGGAGGAGGAGAGGAGGAGGAGGGAAGAGGGAAGAGGAGGAGAGGAGGAGGCAGAGGAGGAGGAGGACGAGGAGGAGGAGGACAAAGGGGAGGAGGAGGAGGAGGGAGGAGGAGGAGGACGGGAAGGATGGTGCTGATGATGATGATGATGATACTGATGCTGCTGATGATGATGATGCTGATGATGATGATGATGATGATGATGATGATGATGATGATGATGATGATGATGATGGATGACGATGATGATGATGCTGATGAAGGTGATGATGGTAATCATGATCATGATTATGATCATGATGATAATGATCATGATCATGATCATGATCATGATCACGATGAGGAGGAGGAGGAGGACAAGGAGGACGAGGAGGAGGAGGAGCAGGAGCAGGAGGAGGATGAGGAGGAGGAGGCAGACGGGGTGGGAGGAGGAGCAGGAGGAGGAAGTGAAGGAGGAGGAGCAGGAGGAGGAGGAGGCGGAAGAGGAGGAGGAGGTGGAGGATGAGGAGGAGGAGGAGGAAGCGGAGGAGGAGGAGGAGGAGCAGGAGGAGCAGGAGGAGCAGCAGGAGGAGGAGGATAAGGAGGAGGCAGAAGAAGAGGAGGAGGAGGAGGAGGAAGAGGAGGGGAAGGAGGAGGAAGAGCAGGAGGAGATGAGGAAGAGGACACGTAATAACAATACGACACCTATAAATATCAGTAAGCATGAGAAGACGGGCAATACGAATAATACGAATAGTAAGAATACGCACAGTGATCATATGAAAAGTAATACTTACATAGTTTGACAACGGATGTTACTCATATTACGAAGCAATTGCGACGTTGACTACGAGTAAAGACGCCTCATATGATTCGTAATCGTAGGATGGCTAAGACTACGAGTCACAATCCGCATGAAAATGATGATAATAACATAATCCGAAGACGAATACAACACGAGTCATAATAAGAAGGCTACTTTAAATAATTCTAAGAATGCGAATAAGGAGTACGACTACTAAGAATAATAAGAAGCATCCGAAGCATACTAATAGTATTATATATTTCTACGAAGCATGTGGAATATTAAGGAGAGTAATGAGAAAATGACGGATGCTACTACAAAGAAGCGTCACACTCATAGTGTCACTAATACTACTTAGGTCTTATGGTTTAAGACCTGATGGTCACTAGTGACTAAGTCTTAGACCAGGGAAGGGGGGGGGAGCAAGCCGCCCCCCCCCCTTTGGGAGATCCAGCGGCGCGCCCGCGCTATTTGGAAAGGAGGGTATAAGTGGATGACAATCGATCTGGCCTAACCTAGCTTATAGGTCGGTTGCAAGTGCTACTAGCGGCTAACAGAGAGCAATGATCTGGGCTAAGTGGGCTCCGACCAGTTGGCACAGCTTCCAAGGTCCTTTAAGCTACCTGGGGCATGTCTAGCATAGTTCTCAGCTAGGCCAGGTCATACATACATACATACATACATACATACATACATACACACGTATACACATGTACAAATCTATACATATATATATATATACATATACATATATACATATATATATATATGTATCCCACAATACCACCATCCATGCATAACCCTCCTTTTGTGTCCTTTAGCATCCTTAGAGCGGTGATCCAAGTACCCCACCCACCACACATGCTGTTTCATCCTGCGGCCGAGTGACGTCGGCGCAGCGGTACGTAGCTAGAGTGGGCTCCAGACCAGCCGAATTCCACGCGGCTGCGCGAGTGGGTTGCTGCGATGGGCAGGGGAACGCAAGGCAAACCGCACGCAGAACGGGGGTGGGCGGGCGAACCGCGCGTGCAGCGTGCAGGGAAAAGGTTCCTGGCCCGGGGCGCCGGGCGAGAGCGAGAGT